TTCCCCCTGAAACACACACATACATGGATGCAATACACAGACATGCATGCACAAAGACACACATGCACACACCTGTGACTGCTCTATTTTACACCAGAGAGATGGTGTTGTATAAATATTTAAATAGCTGCTCAGTGTTAGATGTGTTACCTGTCTGAAGTAACTGAGCACCACCTAAACCTTGCATAAAGTATAAATCTGACTAAATATTGCTGGGGACAAAAACTTATTGAAGTTTTTCTTTTTTTTTTTTTCCCCAGCATGATATTTCCAGGCAGGAGTTCCCACAAAGTTTCTGCAACTGTAAAAGTTTTGTCTTGTCGTTCCAGATAACTCTGTGCAGTCTGTGGTGTCCTTTGACCAGGGAGGGGAGTGGGTACCCCTCCAGAAACCTGCCAACAGCAAGTGTGATGCTACAGCCAAGGACCCAGACAAGGTAAATAAAATATTAGAAAAATAAATAAAATGAAAAGGGAAAATGGAAGAAGTTGCTTTGTTTAGAGGAAAAAACAAAAATGATGTGTCCTGATGAAAACTGTTGTACATGTCTATAAAGTACAGGGTCAAACTGTGCTATGAGATCAAAACTTATGTTGTTGAGACTAGGGCTCAGTTCTTCTTCTACTTCTTTTTCAGTTGAGCCTTGATGTTTACAGTGACTTATTTTTATAAAATAAACGGTTTTTCTTTTTTATAATGACATGAGATTAGATTAGATTAGATGAAACTTTATTAATCCCTCGGGTGGGTTCCTCCGGGAAATTCAGTTTCCAGTAGCAAAGCACCGAAAGAAGTTGCATGTTACAGATACATTAAGGGGTATGAGAGTAAGGATATAAGCATAAATACACCATATATACACATATAGATACAGAATATACAATATGGATAAATAGGATTGCTCATTTGAGTGAGTATATTGCACAGTGATTATTGCACAGTCGAATATAAGAAGAAAAAAAAAAGACAAAACAAAAAACAAATATTGCAGTGTAGAAAAGCACCTACAGCTCAGTTGTTCCCGCCCTCCCTTGTCCATTAAAGCATAAATAAAATAAAACCACACTAATCAATAAATAATCTACTTTAAAGCTTTATTACCAAACATTAAATGTTTAGCCCAGGACTGGTGTCAGGCCTTAAAATGCTGCTTGTTATAATGTCTTTTTATTGCTGATGTTTTTAAACAATGTTTCTGCAGCAGGCCTGGGAAGTGTAGCTTTAAAAACTAGCTATTTTTCCTGGAGATATTCCTTCACACTTTGTGGAATTCTGTCATCTGGAAAAACACTTGTTAGCCTTGAGTAATGTGTTACCTTTGCCTTACCTGGTTCTCTGTCACTCTGGCATGTGTTAACTATCAAAGCCCTGCCCATAGTAAAAGTTCAGCCCAGAAGCAGTGTAATGAGAAATAAAGTAAAACGAGTTCTGTTTTTAAACCTAAAAAAATTCTGAAAAGCAGACGCAGCTCTTCCTTTAGTCTGATTTATGTTGATAACAAAAAGATGAGGAATACTTTATGTAGCCTGTATTTGGTATGCGTTTTAACTCCAACCCAGACCTTCCTCTCTTCATATGAAGAGGAAAGGAAACAAATGGATTCAGATTGTCGTTTATAAACTCTACAGACTGGAAACTGTCGGTCATGTTGGGCAGTGAACATTTGATGTAGTTTTAATTGTTAAGGAAGCATCGACAGTGTTTTGGTATATCAAGCAAATAAAACTTGTGTAACTTGTGTTTAGTTCATGTAACCTACAGGAGCTCAATCGTGGATATGAAACTGATTGCCCTGAATGTGTTAGTAAGGCATGCTTCTGGTTTTTTATTGCAAACAGAGGGAGTGTACACTCTGTGTCACTTGGATAACAAGGCCGTGTGCCTGTATGATGGAGGAGTTGTGTGAAATATAACCCAGTGGTTTAAGGTTATTGATTCACCAACTTCCTCAGAAATTTACCCCAACCGTGCCACTGTTCTTTACTAGTGCAGCAACAG